TGGAAATGATCTTGTTACAGTTTCTTATAATATTAAGTTTAGATTGGATTTTGTTGTTTCAATACAATTTTTCTATTTAGTAGCTTAGCTCTGTAGAATATTATATTCTCGCAGGTAATTTTTTTGTTTACTTCATTGAACTTTCGCATGGCCATGGCTTGATCCTTGCTATATTGTTTCGATTGTCCTAGTCGCGCAATGCCTCATATAAAGACATTCACTCGTTATAGCGGTCAAAAACTGGCGTAAGAATTTATATCAGATTCATAGTTTGTGCTTTTTGTGTCTCTTTGGTAGACAACTGTGCCAAGTCATGCTAATTTGGACTCAAGTGTATTTCCGTGCTTTCCTTTGCAGTTGGTTCTTGCTAACTTCAGCAAATCTCAGCAAAGCTGCATGGGGTGCTCTTCAAAAGAATAATTCTCAGTTGATGATTCGTTCTTATGAGGTACGGGCATTGATTTCGAACTATCTAGAAACATGATAAGTTTGAAGTTGATAGAAATTGCTACATGCCCGAGTTATTCACTTCTGGTGATACATCCAGCATATTTTTCTCCAAACTTTTATTTTTATGATCTTTAAAATATTTGAACATCCCCGGCTGAAACATTTTGTTTTCATGGGTAATTCCAGTTGGGGGTGCTATTCTTACCCTCTGTCGGAACACAAGGTTGTTTGTTTTCTTGTACAAGTGATGACGTTCCGTTAGAGGTAACACCGAAAGCCTCTGATAACTTTTGGAGTTTGATACCACCATCAAAAGAAGAATACTGTTGGGACAAATCCTTCTAATGGTTCTGTGTGTTTTAGGTTAAACACCAAGACGGAAAAGATTGTGAAGTAAAGACTAAAAAACTAGTTACCCTATCTTGGAAAGGAAGCGAGGATTCATCATCAAAAGTAATTCGCCTCCCTGTGCCGTATGAACTCCCACCTAAACCCTACTCGGCCGAAGGTCATCCTCAATAGTTTTATGTGGCAATTTGTTTTTTGTTTTTGACAAGTAGGACTTGTGATTCATCTAAAACTTGTTTGATATATTATCTGGCAGATGTACCTTGGTGTTGGGACCGGAGATACGCCAAAAAGGATGTCGAGGGTCAAGTTTGGCCAAGACAGGTTCAACTATATGCTTTCCAAGATTAGTAAAAATTCTTGTGTACTTGTATGAGAATGTGGATTATGCTTCCATGAGAAAGAAGTTTGTTTATGGCCTTCCTTGCCAATTGATTCACTTGTCAAATTCCAGCTTTGATTATGTTGAATTTGGTGAACAAATTTCAATCTTGAAGGACTTGCATGCCATGTTTATATATGTTTATATATATATATATTTTACACTTGAAAGAAATTAAAATTTATAAAATATCAAATTTGGGAAAGTAAGGCCCCTCAGCATTTCACAACTAAATTAAACGTTTTGTTGGATAATACATATGGAAATTACTGTTTAACCCTCATTCTATCAAAGATATCTCTTTTTTTTTCCCTATAGGAGAACATATATATATATATATATATATATATATATATATATCTCGCCACCCAAATCGGTTGGCAGTTAATACAATAACAGATTTTGTTACACCCACCAAAATCTCAGAGAGATAAACCTCTCTTTCTCTCTTCTTCTTCCCCCCCACTCAAGTGCACAGCTCAAGTGTGTGTATACCCTCTTCCCCTGCAAGACATCAATGGATATTTTCTTCGAGACCCAGAAAGGCAGGCCTTTCTCCATCGAAGTTGGTTTCTTCGACACTGTTCTCGAAATCAAAGAAAAGATACACAAGTACCAAGGCATCCCCATTCCCAAACAAACCCTAGTCTTCCATGACAAAGTTCTTCAAGACGACCGTGATGTTGATTCCTGTGAGATCCTCCACAACTCCCACATTCAGCTCCTCGTTGCCTCCGAACCAGATCACATGTCTCACCTCACCAAGATTGACGATCCCACCTCACCCTCCAAAAAATTAGTCCATCTCAACATCAACATAAACCTTCCCTCTTCCAAATCCCGCTTGCGTCTCCAACTGGATGCAAACGACACCGTTTTAAGGTTGAAAGAGAAGATCCATGAGGCGGAGGCCGCTGTTCCCGTTAACAGAATGGTTATCCTCTCGGGGGGAACAGAGCTGCAAGATCACCGGTGTTTAGGCGAGTGTGATAACGGTGAGATTGACGTGAGCTTGAAAGCGCCGTCTACGGCAGTGGGTGGGAAGAGACTGAAGGTGATGGTGCTGCCCAAGTGCGGGACCAAGAAGATTCCGGTGGAAGTGAACGCGTCGGATAATGTAGGGGATCTGAGGAAAGAGCTGGCCAAGTTGCACCAGAGGCTGCATTTCAATCTGCCGCAGGAAGGTTATTTTTTCATATACAAACAGAATGTAATGGACGACGATCGCTCCTTTAGGTGGCACCATGTTTCGCAAGGTGACACCATTGAGATTTTTAACGGGAGTGTTACCGGTGGATCTTGATTTCAATAAATACATATCATCTGGGTGATGCAGATCAATAACTGCACATACATACATCATGTCATACATGCGCGTATATAGATATAATATTGATATATAGTGCTTTGATATTATAATATGTGCGTATTAATATTGACCGACTTTCACCCAAAAATGTGGTTTGTTGGGGAGGCTCTGGTGTCCTGTTTGATAAGTTGGCGAGGAAGGAACAAGGTGGTGGTGGTGATGGGAAAAGAAACATCGGACACCATTAATGCAGAGAAGAAAGATTGGGTGGAGGATCTCAGAGTGTGAATTTCAAAATTTGATCCGAACGAATAAATTTTTCATCTGTAGAAATTGATTTTTTTATTTTTTATTTCAATAAAAATGATGAATAATAAATTTGTGATGAATTCCCTAAAACTTCGGCATTGTTTAACAAATACGACTCATTTACCATCCAAATACCCAACACCACCGCCTGCAAAAACCTAACGGAAACGTTCCTCCTCCGTCACCTCCGTCATAACGGCGGCCTACCTACCCCCGTTATCACTTCGTCAATATCGGATTCTCTATTTAATTTACTAAGACAACTTGCCGTCTAAATTATGCCACGACACCTCATCATCACACGTGGCGTTTTCTCATTGGTCTCCTTCGCACTTGCCGTGACCCAGTTATCTTCCTCTCCTGCTATAAATTCAGATCTACACCCCCTTGTTTTCTTCGTTGATTCGTCTACCTATTTTCTAGAGAAACCGAGGAAGAAAACTCTCTCAAGGTTCCTTCTTGTAACCTCTTTCTCTTTCGTTTTCCCTTCTTTTCACTTTCATTTCTCTGATCTTTTCGAGTTTTTTTATTTTCTTCTTTCTGGTTCATTATTATTATTATTATTTTATGAATTGTTTGTGAAAACAGATGCAGATCTTCGTCAAGACACTCACCGGCAAGACCATCACCTTGGAGGTGGAGAGCAGCGACACCATCGACAACGTTAAGGCTAAGATCCAGGACAAAGAAGGGATCCCACCGGACCAGCAGCGTCTGATCTTCGCCGGAAAACAGCTCGAAGACGGCCGTACCCTAGCCGATTACAACATCCAAAAGGAATCGACTCTCCACCTTGTTCTCCGCCTCCGTGGTGGGATGCAGATCTTCGTCAAGACCCTAACGGGTAAGACGATCACCCTTGAGGTTGAGGGCAGCGACACAATTGACAACGTTAAGGCCAAGATCCAGGATAAGGAGGGCATCCCCCCAGACCAGCAGAGGCTGATCTTCGCCGGAAAGCAGCTCGAGGACGGCAGGACCTTGGCGGATTACAACATCCAGAAGGAATCGACCCTCCACTTGGTGCTCCGTCTCCGTGGTGGGATGCAGATCTTCGTCAAGACCCTTACGGGGAAGACGATCACCCTCGAGGTAGAGAGCAGCGACACAATTGACAACGTCAAGGCCAAGATCCAGGACAAGGAGGGCATCCCCCCAGACCAGCAGAGGCTGATCTTCGCCGGAAAGCAGCTCGAGGACGGCAGGACCCTCGCCGACTATAACATTCAGAAGGAGTCAACCCTCCATCTGGTTCTCCGTCTTCGTGGTGGGATGCAGATCTTCGTCAAGACCCTTACAGGGAAGACGATCACCCTCGAGGTAGAGAGCAGCGACACCATTGACAACGTCAAGGCCAAGATCCAGGACAAGGAGGGCATCCCCCCAGACCAGCAGAGGCTGATCTTCGCCGGAAAGCAGCTTGAGGACGGCAGGACCCTCGCCGACTATAACATTCAGAAGGAGTCGACCCTCCATCTGGTTCTCCGTCTTCGTGGTGGGATGCAGATCTTCGTCAAGACCCTTACAGGGAAGACGATCACCCTCGAGGTAGAGAGCAGCGACACCATTGACAACGTCAAGGCCAAGATCCAGGACAAGGAGGGGATCCCCCCAGACCAGCAGAGGTTGATCTTCGCTGGAAAGCAGCTGGAGGACGGCAGGACATTGGCTGACTATAACATCCAGAAGGAGTCGACCCTTCACCTGGTTCTTCGTCTTCGTGGTGGGATGCAGATCTTCGTCAAGACCCTTACCGGGAAGACGATCACCCTTGAGGTTGAGAGCAGTGACACCATTGACAATGTGAAGGCTAAGATCCAGGATAAGGAAGGGATCCCACCGGACCAGCAGAGGCTGATCTTCGCTGGGAAGCAGCTGGAAGATGGCAGGACTTTGGCTGATTATAACATCCAGAAGGAGTCCACCCTGCACCTTGTCCTGCGTCTGCGTGGGGGTTTCTAAGTGATTTCGTGGTGTTTTCTGGTTATTAGTACCCAAGTTTCGAACTGTGTGTCGTAGGTCCTATTGAGGCCTTTTGTGAAAAAATTTAAGAACTTATGCTATGAATAAAATCTAGTAGTTTTCTTATGACTTGTGCAAAGGATCCTTTAATTCTTTCTCGTCTTTGTTGCAAATTCCAATGCTGAACTCAAAATATTGTTGAACTTTCTTGGTTGTTTGTCATCTTTGTTGGCTGGTTTAGTGGGCTGACTATTAAGGTTGAGTAACTTGAGATGTGGATTCAATGTCTCTTCCATGGTCAAAATGAAAGAAATGAATGGTGAGACAGATGTTCATGGATTCAATTGTCTTTCATTCTCGCCCCTGTCTTCATTTTCATTCATGATTGAAGGAACTTGTTTTCATTTGTAAGTCTTTATGCAATTCAATACTTGTTTTCATTTTCATATCAATGTAGCTCCTGCTGCAACTCTTCACAGTTCTCTTGGTTAGCGCATGGGAGTCCTCAGTTGTCCAAAAAGCTATGTTCTTCGATGGATAGTTTGAGGGTTTGAGTTGTATAGTTGGAGATTGATGTTTTTGCATAATTATAGGAGACGCTTTTTTTATTTGTTCTTGAAGTAGATATCTTAGAGACTAATCATCAATAATTTCCACTATGCCCTTTATGGTCTTTGCTCTTCATAACAAGCTTTTTCCTTTCCATGGTGAGTGAAAAGAATTGCCAGACTGATTTATAGTTGTCTCCAAGTTTTAACCATAATATACATAATTCAGTGATGTTAGAACAAGATGCTTGTTTACAAACAATTCAAAATCTGCTTCTTTGTTTTCTCTGTCTATATACTTCTGCTTCAATTCAGGAACGTCGTATTCCATTTCCAGATCAAATTGGCTCTGCTGCAAGTCTTCACATTTTAGTTGGTTAGTTGGTTCATGGGAAGTCTGTCATTTTTATATTACAAAATCATCATTCATACCATCTCTACCTGTAGAAAGCCTGATTAAAAGTCTCATTTTTCTTCATTTACTGGGGTTAACATCCTCCACATTATTCCTAATTCTTCCCGTCTCTGTTTTCCAACCCAAACAGGAAAAAGAAAGTAAAAAGAAGATAAAAGAGAGGAGAAAGAAAAGAATCCTCTAATTAAAGACAAGCAAAACAATTGGAAATTGAGGGTTTAGCCAAAAAGCGTGTGGTGCATGAGATTTGCACTCATATAATATGGAAGACCAAGACTTGCAAATACTTTTGTTTTAGTTCTAACTCATCTCATTATCTAATCCTCTCTCTCTCTCTCTCTGTCGGGTAACTTTCTCCTTCTTGGTTGACTTTTGCAAATTGTGTTTCTGTAATCCGACTACCAAGATAATGACAATTGTCATTATTAAAAATATGTCCATCTGCCTTCAAGATTGACTTCATAGTTCTTTGTTTTGATCTGCTCTAGATATTCGTATCTTGTTTGATGGTGTTCACTTATTTGATGATGCTATATATTGAATGCTGGGTAGATATATCATCATGATGATAGATATAGTAGACAAAATTCTTTGCCTATCTGATATAATCAGAAATTCTATTTTCTTTTGATCCATCAAAATGAGACTAGGGATCTTAATCTGTTCGTTCACACGCTTGAATCTGGATCAGTCTTTATCATCTATTGCGGCTGCAAGCAATTTTATGAAAGCAGCTAAAATTGTTATCACTTTTATCATCCAAGATTTCATGGCAGAACTCGACATTCAAATTCCTATTGCCTTTGGAAGGTATGTTCTTACTTTCTTCAAGTAATTATGAATGCTCTCTTTTCTTCAGAACAAAGTGAATATACCCTTTTTGAGCTTCATGGAATCAATTCAAGTTGTGACCTTTATTTTATTCGAATCTGCTGTTATGTGTGATTTCAAGCAGATCCATTCGCTGAGGCAAATACTGAGAACTCAAGTGCCAGAGCAAAGGAATACGTACACGTAGACATACAGCAAAGGAATGGTAGAAAAAGTCTGACCAGTGTACAGGGTTTGAAGAAGGAATTTAGTTACAGCAAGATACTCAAGGACTTCAAGAAGTAGTTTTGCTGCAATGGTACTGTTGTTCAAGACTCAGAATTAGGCCAGGTTACCAACCTATTTCTTGATATAGTCTTTCACAATATTCGATTTGCTCATGCAACATTAACTAGGCTCGAAGAATTTTGATTTTACAGGATTGCTTTAACGTTTGTAGGTTATTCAACTACAAGGTGATCGGAGGAAGAATGCTTCAAACTTCCTTGTTCAGGTAATTGAATTGATATGATGTCTGTCTGGTATGTGTGTTGCAAAAGTAGAAATCTTGTATTGTTGCTAGTTTCTGGTTCTTTTTAACTCACTGCAGGCTGCCGTTGTGAAGAAGGAACACATTAAAATCCATGGTTTCTGAGCTGCAATGATGGGAGAAAGCATACTCACATGATTGCTACTTCTTCTTGAACCATTTAGTTGTGCCTTCTAATATTATACTTTGTTTCTTTGACATGTTAAAAAACTATGAATCACTGGAATGTATTCACCTCTATCAATTGTATAATTATATGAAGAATGTCATGCATATATTGTTAGCTGTTAAACTTTGACGAATTTCAAAGTTTTAAAAATTATGATCTCTTGTTCTGGGCTTAAACGGCCAAGGATTGTGAGCAATAGTTTTTGTGTGAAACCCGTAGACTGTAAGCACTTCCCTACTTGGTAATAATCAATAGATATATACAGATACAGAAGGGAGGAAGAAGTTGTTAACATTTTACCCTTATCCAGTAACTCTGTGTAGTAATCACTTGACATCATATATGAAATCTCTTGCTCTGCTGTGTCTCCAGACCATCTACATACACATGGTCTTAGGGGATGTAGCTACTATGTTTAATTGGTCCAGCATTATATGATGTATTGTGTATTTAAGCCAAAAACTTATTGAAAATAAGTAGGTCCTACAATTGTGACTTACATAATCAAACCTACTCCCTTTAATTAGTTGATTTAATTGCAGAGAGACAAGAATTATTGATTAATTTCCAAAAGAAAACAATTATCTCCAGGTTCTGTACCTAAAATTAAAACAACTTTTTGATGTTCAGATATTTTCTGAAATTTAATATCATACTTCAAAATTAATTAGGCTGATACTTGTATTAATCTAATTATTATAATAATCACAATAATATAATATAAGTGGGAAAATAATAGAAAGTAAAATTAATACACTTTATAAGAATAAATCATTTAACACTCCTACGTTAATATGTATATTGATTTGTTAGGGTTCATGGATTGATGAGATGAGATGTAATCCATCCTTAGCCTGATTAACAGTGTAAAAAAAGACATAAATAGAAAAAAAAAACAATACACACCAAAATCTCAACTAACAATCAAACCAGCTTGTTCAACTACCATTCTGCAGTTTCTCCTATTTATTCTCAAACACTTGCTCTGTCTCATCCAAACACCCACCAACTTCCACTCTCTGATTTCTTTTTCTCATGGCTGAATCTCAACATTCCTCTTCCGAAAACACTCCGCCAACAGATTCTCAAGGTATTTATTTCAATTCCATATATGTTTGTTGCCTGAGAAAATTTCTTGGAACATTTACATATGGTTGCTGGAAATCTTCTTGTAAAATTTTCAGAGGAAACAAGTATGGAATCAAAGCTGGAATTTTCTGAAGATGAGGAAACACTCATTATAAGGATGTACAATCTTGTTGGGGAGAGGTACTAGGTTTCCTCCATTTCTCTTCTTGATCAATTTTCATTCTTTAAAAGTTCATTCGAATCTACAATTTTTATCTTGTCAAAGCTATCTCGAGGGTGAGTGAGATTTTCGATTACAAATTCTCATCAAACAATGCAAGTACGTATACTTAAAAACGAGTGTATAAACCAACAAACACTTATTTACATTTAAAGTCAGTGCAATTTCAAATCTATCAGATGGTCACTGATCGCGGGAAGAATACCAGGAAGGACAGCAGAAGAAATTGAGAAGTATTGGAATACCAGATATTCCACGAGCGAATGATTCTTTTTGGGGGGTATAATTCATGAGGGCATAACTGTATCGATGATATAAAACATGCCCCTGCTTGTAATTACTTGAATTTGTTGATGTTGTTGTGTAGTGTTCAAAATTTTTGGGGCTTGATTATTTGTTCTCTCTCTGTCTGTCTGTAAACCTGGAAGTACAAATATGTGGTTAATTAATATTAAGATTTTGATGTCACTTAGAATTGGTTTGTATTAGCTTTGTATAATTATTGATTTAGCAGGAATACTATTAAAAACCAAATACAGATGTTGACACATAGTTGTTTAATCCTTTCTTTTTTAGCTCTCAATTTCTTGTATACAACTAAATACAGGTCTGTTCAATGGACGCAGCTGTAAACAGTTTCCAAAGATGTGATAATACAATTTTCAACAGTCACTTTTGCACCTCTTTACAGACTAGGAAGAGTATTCAAGAATCATCATCTAAGAAAGTCTATTTTTCTTTGGATGGACCACTTAGATACACCTGTCTCAAACTAATTTGATTTTCAACAGAAAGAAACAAAAAGGATAAATTTTTTTTTTTTGTCCCTTTTGGTCTTAATGACAATGGAATCTACCTTTGTCTTCTTTCTCATAAAGCAACTATGAACATATGCTTCCCCACTTCAAAGAATTCTCCCTTTTCTTTTTTAACATATACATGGGCAAAGTATTTTCAAGCCAAGGTATGCCTCTCAAGACTACATTTAAAAGAACTCAGATATGTCTTCATTTATCTATTTCTAAGCATTTTACATGGACTTATTTTCCTTTTTTTGTTTCCATACATCTTCACATTCTATAAAAATTCAAGGGGAAACAGAAAAAGAAAATTTAAGAATTAATAATTTCATGTAAGATTAAAAAATTAAAATACAGCATAAGTTGTATACCAATAAATCAAATAACAGGACAGAAAAGTATGATTAGACTAATTAAAAGCAAGAAAAAGCTTAATGAGACTACCAAGTGTAAGCACCAAGTCTATAGTACCATCCTCACTACTAGATTTGTAAAGGACAGATAATACAAAACAATTATATAAACAGAAGCATACATGCATGTTTATCATCTGAGCAACAACTTTTGTATCTGGACAGCTAACCTTTCAAGCCTCTGGACCATAATCACGCATGATACTACGGCAAGAATCATGATTCACAGGAAATCTAATCTACAAAGATTCACTTTACCGAAAAGTTATAGCATTACAATTCATGAATCAGGAAAAAGATGATTCACCCAGAATAACATAAGCACATTAACCATAATAGCCTATGTGCCAAATTCATTGAGTTCTTACTTTTTTACTCACAGAATCGGTCATGATATCTAAAAGCGAATCCCAATTCATATCTTCTTCATACTATACATTGCTTTGTTTGTAAAACTTGGTGTCCAGAACTTGTTTCCCGCACATTGCACATACTCCTGCAAACAATTACAGCATTTCCGATCTTGTTATATCGCACAGAGAAAATTAAACTGAAGATACAATATGATCACGAGATAAACCGCCATTACCTTTGGAATATGCGCATGTATGACAGTATTTGGCATCCTGGTGAACTTGCTGCTTGCAAATGATGCACTTAGTATTTCCATAAGGAGTCCATCTGCAGGCAATTATGTGACAAATAGCATTACAAGAATGGAAAATTAAGAAACCAGAATAATATGCAGGCAGACACAGAATAGTGAATGCCGAAGAAAACTAAAGTACACCCAAGAAATGGATTAGTATCACCCCCCATCTCTCTCTCGTCCTCAATACATATGTCTCCTTAATAGAATCAATTAGTCCCATGACTGAGACTATTGATCACCATTTTGTTATCTTTGCTGGATCCCTCTTTTTTTTTCTTTTGGTGAAGTGCGTTTAAGTCGCTAATGTAGGACATATTTGGGAGGAATCTTCCTATCTAATAAAGTTGAGGTAAAACCTAGATTTCTTAGAACCTAGACATTAGAATTGATAAGCATAGCAAACAAGAGTTGAGTGTGTCACACAATCCAGAATATTGAGAAAATTCTCAAGGACTATATAATAATTGGACTTCTCTGAAAAGTGAGATTAACAGGCATTGTGGTACTCCTTCAGTAACCTTACCCAAATAAAATCAGGCTAATATTTTCTAAAATATAAATACTAATACCAGAACTAGTAAATAATTATAGGACTTCTAAATAATAAAATAACTCCAAATTAAAATAAATGACATGTTTAAGCTATTTAGGTCTAGTATAAATCTATATCATTCTCCCCCAGATGAAAAAAACTCGTCCTTGAATTTGGAAATAGCAAATGACATAAAACATGGATCTTGGAGCTTCTCAATTAAAATTAGCATACTTTGCATTTGAACATCCTTGTCAGAAGCCAAAACAATGTAACTAACTGGTCAGGGTTGTGAAACTCTGGAAGTAGTATGAAATCAACATTATCAAAAATTGGTATATCCTGATCGTACGATTAAATCTCCTTAGATCCAGTTGTTGCCTTGCCTTTTTTGAACATACCATGAAGAAATCTATTTAGGTGGAAGACTTTTAGAGCTGGCTGTTTGAAATTTGATATTGATGGTTCACAACTTCTCATGCTGTATCCATCATTTGACTGTTTTCATTGACTGCCGCTGGCTTGTATGTTATTTAACATCTTCGGTATAGTAACAGATTCCAAAACTCATCCTTCACTCTAAACATAAGGTGACAAATTTCATCATTCGAACATGCTCATCAAAAAACCAAAGTCAGCCTAGAAGAACATGTTCAATCTTCAAAGAAATTCACCTCTTATCATAGAGCAATTGTAAGCATCATTACAATAGAAAGAAGACATTTTTAAGTTACTTGAACTCTCATGATCTTGTTTTTTCCCTTTATTGTTCAAATCCTCAATTCCAAGGTAATAATCTGACACATACATCATAACTTTCCTAGTCCTATCTCCCTTATCATAGTTCGCAAAGCTATAACTTTCCTAGTCCTTTTGAGCTCCCTCTCCCAAACCATACTCCTCTTCTCTTACCTCGGAACTTTGGAGTTCTATCATCCCCTTTAGCCTTCTTACTCTCTTCAATTGCACTGAAAAACTCAATAGCTTGGTTTCCGAAACCATCAAAACCAACCCCCAATAATCTACTAATCCCAGCTATGTTATTCATGACCCAATGCAAAGCTTCGACCTGGATTGAATTGGCAGCGATGAAAACACTGAAATCCCCTAACTCCTAGTTCTCACTCTAGTCACATCAATTTCTTCCCCTCTCAATATCCTTGCACAGACATAGGCGAGATTTCCACCATGCACCATGGCCAGGGGTCAGATAGAAGAGTCCTCCAAGCTCCTACTCGAAGCTTTCATAAGCAAAGGGCCATATTCAGTGCTCCCGAGCAAAACCAAGTCATCCAACTCAGACAAGAAACTAAAAGAGCTAGGATTTTCAAAGCTGTGTGCAATGGGCACTGAAGAAGCTCCTACTACAGGCAAACCAAATGAAGGTGAAGAAGAAGAAAATCTGGGGACTCAAGCTGATTTCCCTAGAACAAGTCCTTAAAAGCAATTCAACCACCAGCTCCATCCAAAGAACCCTAACCCACTTTTAAATTTTCTAGATTTCTGCTTTTGACTGGAACTCATTACCCTTTCCAACAGACATGCCTTGGGTTTTTTGAGATTAGCCTGAATCAGCCGATACCATATTTTGGTTGCAGGAGTTGGGTCTTGGAATTTGAATTTAACCCAACCAATTTAGGACCTAGATCCTTCTTCAAAACCAAGTTGCTCACAATCTTTGCACAAAATTGCAACTTCTTTCCTCCATTTGAAGCCATTTGAAGTAAGATCAGGAGCAAGATTTTGCAAGTAGGGCATGAAGATTTGCATGCAACCGGAGTCAAATCGAGCTAAGGATCCCATGAAACATTTCCTTTAGACCCAACAACAAGAGGAGAAGGCTTAGGTAGCAGGAAACAGGTTGCAGTCAGAACTGACTTCTCCGAGACGTCACCCAGGGCTTTCAGGAACTGCCACCAACCATCAGCCTTATAACCTTTAGAACTGAAGATTCTCTAGCATGAATCCCTAGATCGCTTAATAAGCATCCAGAACCTATTTCCCCTATATGAACCCAATGCTAACTAGAGATTGTGTTGCCCTCCCTTCATGCTCCCAAGGTAAGAACTTTCTCCTTTTTTCCCAGTAGAACTCACCCAAGCCATTAGCAAGCCATCCCACCTAAGCTCTCCCATAAAGAATGGAGGATTGAGTAACTCTAACATCCTCAAACACTCTCTGCGAGTCAACAGCTCCACCCTCAAGAGTAATGTCAAAAAGCTAGTACCCAATGACAGGAATCTCCAAGGAGGAGGGACTGGCATGAGGGCAGAGGAAAGGCAGACCAAAAGAATATGGTCTAGAGGAAGAAAGATAAAAATCAAGAGGGAGAGCGAGAGAGAGAAAGAGAGTCTACCAGTACGAAAATTATAATCATAGGACTCCAAATAATACAATAATTCTAGATTTAGAAAAAATATAATTTATAATCTATTTAGGAAATCTGGGATAAATCTATTAAACATCACTCACCCAAGCATATTTCCTTCTTTCCTTGTCACTCAACTAAATGGAGACATCAAAACTTAATTCTCTGTTATTTGATACTTATAGAAAGACATGGAGCTAACTTCATTCAGTAAAAAATAAAGAAAGCCATTTGATATATGGATGAAAAACAAAGTGTTTCACGATGATAACCCAAAAAAGTTATATTACCAAAAGCAGATACCAGAATACAAAGAAGCCACATACACAAACCAACAACAAAGAGAAAGATTAACCAATAAAGGTACAAGATTTAGCAACTGCATGAAGATCCATAATCTTATTGAAGCTGCAAAAAGTGATGCTTGATAATCTACATTAAAATTGGCATGTCACTATAGCTCCACCTACTTCAAATATAGAAAATCACCCTACCATGAGGTCTCTCGAGCATCCACTGTTCTCACATATCCTTAACCCGATAATAGCTAAGGCAGCTCTAAATTCATTGTCACATAATTTGATACAGAATAATGCAATTACAAGTGTCTGTTGTTATCCCATTAAGACTGTCTCCAAAACCTCTAACAATCTACCATAAAAATCCAACAAATCATGCATATAACTAATCTCAATAAATGACTCTCAGAACCCATAAATAAAACCTTTCTTGGTAATAACACTTACTTAGAAGAGAAGATCATCACTAATTGTAAACTACAACACCTGTACCTTAACATTATCACCAAAATTTTCTACGACCGTAAAAAGATGACTTTTCTCATAGGCATCAAAATTGGTTCCTATGGAATCAGTTAAGCACAAACAAAACGAAACTTTAAAAATTGAACAGAAAAAGAAAGGGAAAAAGTCTGTATTTTCGCCACTGAAACTGAACTTAACATCACAATAAAATCATTACAACTATATTCCCCTTTCGACAGTAGAAACGAAAATTAACCTGTTCCTTGTTAATCTACAAGCTCGATTATTGCAAAAAACAACCAATATTGCAGACAACTGATGTACAAATTAAAAATTAGTAATCCTAAGATGCGAAAAAATTACCTTTTCTTCTTGGAGAGGAGTTTGTTCTCGTTGATTTTACGCCCACCGGCTTCAGTAGTGTTGCTTGCACCTTCTTTCCACTTATCTGGCACTATCACCTTCGACAGCTTCTTCTCGCCTGAAAAACCACCCAAAAAAAGATCAAAATTTGAGGATTGATGATAATACCTACTGCTAATCACAATTAATAACTTTAAAAAATAATTGAGTAGATATGAAAGAAAAATTCTGATAAACCCACATTTCTCGCACACCATAGTTGCTTAGCCGAGGCCTGAATTAGGGAAATTTTATTCTCTGTCGTCGAAAAACCCTAACTAGTTTCCTTCTGAGTGCTTGTTTAACAGCCGATAACTGTTTAAAAGGGGTTGTTTGGGTGTTCGATTAGAGATGTCTAATTCCAGTCACAGATAGGATTTGGCTTCGGTTTCTCTTTTTCTTTTAATGGAAAAATAACATAAATTATTCTTTTATGAACTACAAAGAAAAAAAAAAAATTTAATTTCTAAAGCTGAATTAAATTAATTAATATCAATTAGTGATAATTTTATTATTAATAAAAGGTCACTCTAGTACTTTCAGGAGCAAATTACCACTAACTATTAATTAATTAATTAATAATTTCACGGTAAGTTTTTATCAGATTAATTACAAGTTAATTAAATTAATTCAATAATATTATATATTTTATTTAAAGTTTATTTATATTGTAATTTTAAATAAATTAGTAGAGATATTATGCAATTTAGTTACAAGTAAAAGGATATTGCAGTAGTTTTAGGAAAATTTAAGATTAACTATTAATTAATTAAAGAAAAATTATTATTAAATATTAAATATTTCATTAATTTTATATAATAAATTTACAATAATTTTAGTAATTAATTTTTTAAAATATTCAAAAATAAAAAATTATGTTTTATATATAGTTTTACCATGTGTCATTGTTGTGATAATAGTAACGCACTTTATACTTTACTATAAATTTTCAGATTGTCTATCAACGAAGTAAGTAGGAGTTAGGAGCAAGAGGCAAAGACAAAAAGCTTGAGGTTAAATCCCTCTTAAACGAATTGTTCAAATTTAATATCGATGATTCTACATATAGTGATCGGGGATGTAACACTAATACATATTTCACTCGTGATAGTAATAAGAAATGAGTGATATATTTTATACATTGTATCAATAAGAGAGACATCGCGATATCAAAAACTATTGAAGTGTTAAAAGTTCTTAACTTAGCATAAGATAAGGAATGAAGAAACTTATCGTTGAGGTAAAATCTCTCTTTCTTGTCCAACACATCTAGTAAGTTGGATAAGCTTAATCGACCCATCACAATAACTACTTTACAAATCAAAGATCTCATTCATTATTATTAGACTACCTATGCCTTTCACGTTTTTAGAGAAGCCAACATACGTGTTGAACGCACTATATCCATAAGTCTTATGTGAAGTTGGAACGATCTCATGATGTTCTCGGTAGATACTTTTATTTGAACTATTACAATACCATTTGGAGTAGATTAATAGCTCATAATATGCAATTCTCTCATCTGCATATTTTTAGTTTCATTAAAAAATATTTAATTTTTCGGTGATTCTTTGTCGGACAAGTAAAGACGTAAATATAAAAGTAAAGTTGGTTCGATATTATTTGAAATATGACCGATTACCACTTAATTGAATCTACAAAAACTTGTGAGAGATTGTTTCATGTATCACTTAATTATGAATATATGAATAATTTTTGTAAAAAAAAAAAATATATGTATATGTATTTCAAATATGTAATTATTATTAAATAGAATGGAAATAAAATAATTTGAAGTAAATGTAAGATTAATTATACATCCGAAAATGAATAAATTTAATTGTAAAAGACCCATCAACAATGATACAATGACATGGGTTTCCCCACAAACTGTTGGTGAATTGAGTAGTATGAAGAACATAGACGAGTAGTGGGTGGGTGATTATGATGATCAATCCCACGGGCTCAACGAACATTCTTCTGGCAATGTAGGATAGCGCTCGGAATCTTTACAGTAATCATAGATGACTAAGTTTCTCTGCACCCAGGCAAAATCCATTTTCTGAGAATCTGTGAGATGCCAGGCTTCATATTGATCCCACCAATTCTCCGTTGTGGTGGATACACATGCAGGATAAGGATCCTCCCACTGGCACCCTTCAACTGCAAAATCCTGGTAAGAAGAGACGAAGGGTGCTTTCTTCCAATCTGTCTTCTCTAACCCACCTCTGGTTGCCCACTCATCCGCATTCCATATACTCGAAAATAAGTACATCGGCTTCTCGTTGGGGAAGAAATTGTTTGATTTACCATTGTTCTCGTAAACCCTAATCGGAACTCTATCCACAAAAAACCTGTTTGTTTAACCAAATTTCAGTTCAACATTGTTGTTGTAAACCCCAATTTTCGATTCGAAAAAGAGAGAGAGACTTACAGAATATGATGGTTATTCCATAGAATCGAATAGGTATGGAAGTCCTCGGTCGGATCAAACCAGAGCATGTGTCTCATCTCGCGGCCTCCAGTTCCATTCTTGTATACATTCGTCTGGATCAGATATGGTTGCCCGCTCCTGTTTCCCAAGAATTCAAAATCCAACTCGTCTCTCTCTGGCCCTGCCCCATTCTCCGAGCACATCTGCAAAACTCACTCCCATTTAATTTTTTGTACTTTTAATATTTGACCACAAAAGAACATCTAAATTACAATTTAACCCACATAATAGGCTGTTACAACACCGGCCGAGTCACCTCCGACCAGCTTCAACTTCATGCTAAACCACCCAAATCTGTATCTCTGCTTCGTTTGAAACCCACAGCCTGCAGTTTTCTCAAACATATATACATTAAATATATATATATATATCTCTACAGAATATAAAGGAAGAAGAAGAAGAAGATGGTGATGAATGTTGTGTATATATGTGTATGTATGTGCATACCTGTGTCATTGTCCAAGGAGAGGTACCAGATCTGGCCATCTTCAGATGTTTTGAAATGATCTTCAGACCACATGATGCTGAAGTTGTCTTTGAAGGATGGTTTTGATGAAGTTACAGAAGATTGCGAACAGACCGTCATTAAAGCTGCAATGAAGAGAAGAGAGGTGGAGATCATTAATGGAGGAGAAGAGGGGCTTCTCCTTCTCTCCATTATGCTTCGCTGGAGTTGAAGGAGAGAATGAGGTAGGCAGCTGCTTGCTTTTAAGTTTTTTCTCCAGCTGGAATATCAGTCTCTGTCAAGATGTACTGATGATCATAAAATTATGATAAATTGGAGAAAAAGTGGTGCATATTCAATTCTTTTTTTCCCCCTTTCCAAAGCCGACATGGGTATTTTAGGAATCAAACTATAGCGAATAATATATGTATGTATACATAATACAGAGAGAGAGAGAGAGAGAGAGGAGTGATAAGAGTTGCAGATCTTTGGAAAACCAGGCTGCCCTCCAATGGGTGTTTGCAGAATGAAAATGGAGGTGGGTCCGTATGTTTCTCTTTGCTAAATGGACGTGAAGGATTCTGATTCCTCCCATACACATACACTAAAATAATAGTAAGCTTGTTGGATTTGACAACTGGATTTCGTAAGTTGAGTGACATCTTACCGTCAACTTATTGCTTTTGA